TCGAGATTCTACTACGTGTATTCTTCCTTTATTCAAAAGTATCGGATTCTTATTTCACATATCCTTTCATTACTAAATCATTCTTTTCTGAATAAACCAATTCTTACTTGGCTTCTTAGTCAAGTACTACTAAGTTAATGACTTATTCTTTTAATCAGCTAATTAATGTTGATTGTTAGCTTATTAACCTTTATTGAGCCGTAAATCATGTCTAGAATGTTTTGGAAAGAGATAAGAATCAAAATGTGAACTAAATGCAATTTTCCAAAATATGCTGAAAATAGGGTCTTCGCTCGAGCATCACTTTGGTCGCTCGAGTGGACTGTAAAATTTTGAAAAACTACTGAGAGCTCGATTTTCACGCTCGAGTGAGACTTTCCTCGCACGAGCGGACAGTGTGAATTATGGAATTTCCAGAATTGTGATTGAAGTTCAGATTTGATATTCGAGCCTCAGAACTTGTATCTTTGGTACACAAATATGGAAAAACATTGTATAACATGAAAATACCTCTAATTCGAAATCATTTATTTTAAATCATGCTCCAATTGTCCAAATTTAGATTTAATTTATTTTCTTTATATCAAACCCACGAATTTTAACATACGAATTAAACTTTCAAAATTCTTGAAAACTTCATGATGTATATAAAATAAAACCCAATTTCATTATTTAGAGCAAAAATCAAACTTAACTATGAATTACACAAATCAATTTCTTAGAAATTCAACCTAACTCAATTTTGAATCAAAAGCTTAATTTATGATCATAGATGTTCCAAAATGTGTTTAAATTGAATAAAACTTTTAAATTCAATTACATGCATGGATTAAACAAATTCCTAGTTTCCATTATAAAATCGAAACTTCCTTTAATTCCAAAATCAACTCTCAAATTTCATGAACTCATGATTTTTATAACTTTTTCTTTAAAAGTCATTTATATACTTCATTGCATGTATCCAAGCTTCAAACATTTCTTGTTACATGTAATTTATAGAACTCGATTTAAGAATGATTCTCAAAATTGAACCCAATTCAAATCTATAAACCTTTTAAACATGAATTAAAATCTCAAAACCTTAAAATTCTATAATGCATGTTTAATTAAAGTATTAATCTTGTAGAGTTTTCCCATGCATGTAACATTGAGGCATAATTTCATGCAAAATCACAACATCAAACCCAAAATAATTAATTTTCATAACCATGAACCTAACTTAATCTCTTCATCTTTGTTTTCTATTTTCTTCCAAATTATATGAAATTGAACTCAAACTCATCATTAATTTCAAGTATAATACATGAATTCTACAAAAAATCAAAGTTGAAATCTTTACCTTTAATCTTCAATTTGATCATTTCTTGATGAACTTCCATTTTTCCTTTCTTGAATTTCCTTCAAAATTTCCAAGAAGTTCAAAAGAATTGAACTCTCTCTCTCTCTCTCTCGGCACCATCTCTCTCTTAGCCGTACGGCTCTCCAAGACAAGCAAACAAGAGAAAAGCTTCCAATATATTACATACATTTGAGATCATTCTCCTCAAGTTCCGGAAATCTCTCTAGCTTTCATTCTTTTATTTATTTATATATTTATTTATTTATTTATTACATTTATATTTATTAATTGATTAGGATTGGTTAGGCACACCAATTACACATTAACAAAATTTAATTACCACTTAGTCTTAATTAATCTTGATTACTACATAACTTATTTAATTATAACTAATCACAAATCCCACTTAATTTAATTAGTCTAATTTGACTTCCTTTAGAGCCCAATTAATTATATTTAAATTTATTAATCTATATCAGATTTTTAATGAAACACCCAAAAAGGCTCCAAATATTAAATTAAACTTATTGCCATTATCAATTTTGATTTCCCAAATCATTTAGACCTTCAATTTCTGATCAAACTAAAATTTTCCGTCAATAATTTACATGTTCAAATTGGACATCCCATAAATAAATTTAATTGGTAACGATCACAATTCTCAATCCTCATAATTTAATTAACTTAATTATCTCCAATTTGGACCTAATTAATCGAATCTCAATTTTACTAAACTGAATCGGATATTTAATTAAACTCCCAAATTAAATTAGGACAATGACTAATTAAAATTCTAAATCTCCTTAATTAACCAAATAGAAAATATTATACGTGACGGGGTCGTCACAGAAATGAGCGAGAGACACAGAGAGAAAGAGAGAGACCCATTTCATTTTTTGATCTTTTCCTCTTTTAACAACAATGGGCTAATTAAGAAACAGATGAGTGTGATTGAGAGAAATGAGCGATGGAGAGAGAAGAGAAATGAGTGAGAGAGAGAGAGAGAGAGAGAGGAAAAAAAGAGAGAAATAAGAGATGAGGGAGAGATAGACAAAGAGAGAGAGAGAAATAGAGCAAAAAGATATGAACAAGAGAGATATAGAGAAAGACATAGAAAGAGAGAGAGAAGAAAGATGAGTAAGAGAGATAAGAGAGCCAGAGAGAAGAGTGATGAGTGTGAGAGAGAGAGAGATGAGCGAGAGACACAGAGAGAGATGCCCATTTCATTTTTTGACTTTTTCTTCTTTTTAAAACTGGGCTAAGAGAAAGAGATGAGTGATTAAGAGAAATAAGAGATGTGAGATAAGCGATTGAAAGAGAAGAGAGATGAGAGAGAGAAAGAGAGATAAATCAAGAAGAAGTGAGGGAGAGAGTGAGCAACGAGAACACAATGGGAGAGACAGATAGACAAACAAAGAATAGTGATGAATGATGTGTGTGTGTGTGTGTGTGAAAGAGAGAGAGAGTGAGAAAGAAAGAGAGATAGACGACAGAGACAGAGATAGAGAAAGACAGAGATACAGGAAGATGAAAAAATTGGGTGAAAAGAGAAATGTTATATCAAAATAATATCGTTTTTTCTATTTTTTTAATTTTTTTGTTTGCGACGGCACCTATTATCGTCGCAAAAACTCTCTTATTTACAACTGTAGTTCATGTCGTCGCAAAAAATAGCTTTATTTGTAACAGCATGGGTTGTTGTCACCAAAAACACACATTTTTTGCGACTGCAGTTGTTGCCATTCCAAAAACTTGTTTTTTTGTTACAGGAAGTGGTGCTGTCACAAAAACTCACTTTTTGCGACGGCAAGTGGTACAGTCGTAAATGCTTCTGTGTCATATGCTTCCGTGTTATATGCCCCATTTTCTTGTAGTTTTTATCCCCTACTTGTTAAAAATAGTCATATGCCTCCTATGTAGTTTGCGACTAAAATTCAATCTTTCACAACGTTAACCATTGATGTGAAATGACTATAATAATCTCAAACCATATATTTTTTATTATTTTCTTTCTCTCTCATTTCTCATACACATAAATTATAATGTCTAGCATTTAGTCAATAAAATCACAATTAACTATAAATTATTAATCATTTATTGTGATTCTTACATTTTTATTCTAATTTTAATTTAATTATATTTTAGTTAGCAATTAATCCTAAATATATGACTATTTATTGTAATTACTAACTTTTTAATCTAATTTTAATTTAATTATATTTTAGATCACAATTAATTCTAAATTCTAAATTATTTATCATAATTTGTAACATGTTAATCTAATTTTAATTTGATTACATTTTAGATCAATTCTTAATTATTATTAATTTTATATTTTATTTAATTATATTTTAAATCAATTTTTAATTATATTTTATATTTTAGATCAATTCTTAATTATGTTTTAATTTATTTTAATTAACATATTAATTTAATTTTACGTTTGGGGAAAATGAGAGTAAAATTGTCTTTTTGTTGTATTAATTTCATTATAATATTTCATAAAACAAAACTCACTTTAAAAAATAGTTTGCACGATAGACCTTTTGTTAGTTTAGATAAAAAAAACTAATAGTAACACTTTAATCCAAAATCATATAAGAACTTTATATTTGAATGATGGGAGAGTAAAGTACTCTACCCCTAAACACAAGGGGATTAAATGAATTGAATCCTATGTTTTATTGCCTTCTAATAATATGTTCCTTTGAAAAAATAAAACATAAAAAAATATATAAGATAAGTAATTAAAAATTCTAGCTCATTCTTGTTTCATCAGGTGAATTATGGCATATGTTTAAGATTATTAATCCATAGCACTCATATTTTATTATTTGATTACAATTCTTACTATTCAGATTAAATTTTGATGGACATTTTATCTAGAATTTTTTAATCCTATAACTAATAATGAAAAATGAACATATAATTAGAGCCATATATTTTCACGTCCATTGTAAAACAAATATTGACAAGAGAAAATTCTTTATCTCACTAATCTGGCTAGATAACTAATCTTACACTAATTTCATGAATTATTAATCTATTCACTATTAATGTTGCTAATCAAACAAGGCTTTATAGTATTGTTAATCCCATAACAATAAGTTTAATCATATATATCACCTCATACACCCCTTGAGATTTACTTAAAATATAGATTGTCTATTATGATTCTGGATATTACGTTCCACTGCTTTAAGTTTATAATCGCATAACAAATGACCCATTTTATTAATAAATCATAAAATCAATTAACAGTTTTTAATGATGTCATAAATATATTTCAATTAATAATTCAAATAATTTTATTGTTGTATAGAAGAGTAGTTAATAATTTTTTTTTTGTTAATTCTGTTAAAAAAATTTGATAAGGAGATATTTATAATTTTCAAAGTACAGGAGACAATCTGTATTTTAAGCAAATTTCAAAGAGTATATTTGTAATTTACCGCTAATAAAATTATAAACTTAGGATTGTTTTGAGTATGACTTATAAGATAGTTTTTTTTGCTTATTACAAAAATATGTGTAAAAAAATAAAAAATAATGTGATACAAATAAGCCAATAAATCAATAAACAATATAGGATGGCCTATTTCACCTATTTACCCTACCGGCCCAAATAATTATACAATTGTTTAATGAAGGGAGGTTGATACAAGGGGCATTATGAGAATCAGATAGCCGAATTTCCCAAAGCCACAAAATGAAAAATTATCACTTAAGTCCGGCCCAGCGTCTCAGACCGTAATTATCAAAAAGTTCGGGGCTAAAATTGTAATATCACACGACCCATAATAAGCTAGCTAGGGTTTTACCAGTCTTCGTCTAACCATCGTCGTCTTCTTCCTCTCGTCTGTTGCAGTCGCTCTCTATCTCTCATCAATGGTGGGCTTTGAAGTCGGAGCAGTCCCCTTCAACCCGGACGGTTGGGGACCACCCGAATCCACCTCCCCTCTCCTCCCCAACCACCTAAGCAACGTCCCCTTCGCACCCTTCTCTCGCTCCGACAAGGTCGGCCGGATCGCCGACTGGACCCGCAACTACAACCCTACCCGCAACTCCACCAACCCCCGCAACTCCACCCACCCCTCCGACTCCGTCTTCGATTTCACCGGCGACGATTCCTTCGGCGGCGCCGCCGCTGCCGACGATGACGCCACCTTCCGCCTCGTCGACGGCAAGCCACCTCCTCGCCCTCGCTTCGGCCCCAAATGGCGGTTCCAGCAGCAGCGCAACCACCTCCCCCAGCGCCGCGACGAGGAGGTGGAGGCCAAGAAGCGCGAGGCCGAGAAGGAACGTGCCCGCCGCGACCGCCTCTATCACCTCAACCGCTCCGGCGGCCACGGCCAGCGGCGCGAGGCGGCCGTGTTCAAATCGTCGGTCGACATTCAGCCGGAATGGAATATGCTCGATCAAATCCCTTTTTCGACTTTCACAAAGCTATCTTTCTCTGTTCCGGAACCTGAAGATCTTCTTTTGTGTGGAGCTCTCGAATTTTACGATCGATCTTACGATCGCGTTACCCCGAAGAACGCTCGCGCTCGTCCTCTCGAGAGGTTCAAGAATCGGAATTTCTTCAAAGTCACCACCACCGACGACCCGATCATTCGCCGCCTCGCGAATGAAGACAAAGCTACGGTTTTCGCTACCGATTCGATTTTGTCTACCCTAATGTGTGCTCCGAGATCGGTTTATTCTTGGGATATTGTGATTCAGCGAGTTGGGAACAAGTTGTTTTTGGATAAACGAGATGGGTCTCAGCTTGATTTGCTTGCGGTTCACGAGACATCTCAAGAACCCTTGCCTGAAGCTAAGGATGATATCAATTCTGCTTATTCATTGAGTGTTGAGGCTGCTTATATCAATCAGAATTTCTCACAACAGGTTTTGATTAGGGATGGTGATAAGGTTGGATTCGAAGAGCCAAACCCATTTGCGAATGAGGGGGAAGAGGTTGCGTCCGTAGGGTATAGGTATCGCCGGTGGAAGCTTGATAACGATATGTATCTTGTGGCTCGGTGTGAGGTTCAGAGTGTTGTTGAGGTGAACAATCAGAGGTCTTTCCTTACTCTGAATGCGCTTAATGAATTCGATTCTAAGTATTCGGGTGTGGATTGGAGGCAAAAATTGGAGACTCAAAGAGGTGCTGTTTTGGCTACTGAGCTGAAGAACAATGCCAATAAATTGGCTAAGTGGACTGCCCAAGCTCTGTTGGCCAGTGCAGATATGATGAAGTTGGGTTATGTTTCACGGGTTCATCCTCGCGATCATTTTAACCATGTTATATTGGCTGTGGTTGGATATAAGCCGAGGGATTTTGCGGCGCAGATCAATTTGAACACTTCAAATATGTGGGGTATTGTTAAGTCTATTGTGGATTTGTGCATGAAATTGAATGAGGGAAAGTATGTGTTTGTCAAGGATCCTTCGAAGCCCCAAGTGAGGATTTATGAGGTTCCGGTAGATGCATTTGAGAATGATTATGTGGAGGAACCACTGCCGGAGGAAGAACAGGTACAGCCGCCTGCGGAGGATGAGGAAGGCGGGGAGGTAATTGCGGCTACAAATGATGGGGAAGACAAAGAGGTTACTGTTGAGGCTTAGAAGGAATTTAAGGTACTTATTGACGCGACTACTTAACTTGGCTAATTTTTGTTTCCTAGAATGTCCCCATTTTTAATTGTGAAATCTTTGTTGTTGTTCAATTAAATTATATATAATGGATAAGAATGTTACTTCCTACTCCCATGTGAAAATTTTACCAGGGGTAGGATGCAAACTATTACCATTAGGATAAGACATTGGACAAAGCTGTGGAGCCTTGGAAGCTTGGAGTGTAATGGGATAGCTTCATTGAGACTAGGGTTGATTTGGACAATGTTAGGAGGTTGTTTTTTTAGTAGTTGTTAGTTTTGGGTTGAGCAACACTAGTCTTTGATTTATGATAGTAAAGGTAGAAGGTAATCCCAGAGAAAACTTAAGTTCTAATGGTTTTGGGTTAACCTATGGAAAATTCGTTGTGTAAGTTAATGAATTATGTTGACAAATTAGGTTGGCAGTGGTTGCAGGCACAAGGGGTTGGCTAAACCACTGCAAATCTTGTGTTCCTGTGTTCTTTATATATTTTGGATGTTTTATGATGAATACATTATTTACTGCCCTATCTTTATTTGATAACTTGATTAACGATGTGCACCCCCGATGATTAGTCGGGTTTTGATCCAGGCACACGGTGCCAATCAAAAAAATAAAATAAAATAAAATAAAATAAGTTGATTAACATTGTGAGAAACTATTGATTAAATCATCGACTAATGTTAAGATATCATATGAAGTTAATCAACTAGATAATCTGAATAATGCACAAGCATGATTGATCAATGGTCAGGTTGGTCAATCATACATAATGCTGGGTGACCATACACAGTAGGAGAAGGTGATCATCCTGCACTTGAGTCAAAACCAAGCTATAATAGTACTCTCATGCATAATGGAAAATTTGAAAGTTTAGGGGTTCAAGGATTAAAAATTTCAAGTGACGGATTAATATGTGTAATCCATACTTCTTATTTTATTTTATTTTATTTTGAACTTTAGCATAGCTATTTTTATTTTATTTTTTTTATGCTGTATTTGGATCATCAATTTGGATAGGGATTTAGAAAGGAAAATGGTGGAAAAAAAATTAGTATATAATTATTGTCACCTTTTACTTTTCCCTTTTTAAATCCCTACAAATCTATGATCCAAACATAACCTTAAACTTGTACCATCTCGTTTGAAAACATGCTATTTTAGTAATTTTTTGACTTTTTACCAAAAGATATACAGAAAAGTCTAGAGAGTGATGTAACAATTTATAGTGACTTTTTGACTTTTTGACTAAAATACTTAGTTCCCAAAATGTGTTATGTGTGTTGATTTTCAAGAAATCCTCAACTCCCAATTGATGGCTTCTCAAAGAAAAATAAATAAATAAATAAATTGAGGATGTGATGAGTTAACATTCCACTTATTAAACAACTTGTTGACAGTGGCAGACCGAAGGAATGGCAGAGGGGAGCTATGGCCCCTCCGGAGCTTAAAATTTTGACTCTTTAAGTGCCCCCCAAGTCTTCAAACACCAGCCCAAAAACTGCTTATGTAATAAGGTTTACTTATATCAGTGTTTTAAAAGGCTCTAGGCGCACCAAGGTGATAAGGTCTCCTATAGCCTAAGTGAGAGGCACGAGGCGAAGCGCACGCCTTACCAAAGTGATGCTCAAGTAGTAGAAAAAAAGTAAAATTGTAAAATAGGTAAAATTTTCAACATAACAAATATATATATATATATATAATTTAAAAAATCATAACTATTTTTGATAATCTCTAAACATAACATTCAATCTTCTAAAAACTAGAAATATAATATCCAACAAAAGATATAAAACATAACATTCAATCTTTTATCACTTTCTGCTCTTTTTTGACCACATTTGGTCATTTTATATTGAAGAATTTTGAATCCATGTGGGTATGCCCCACAAAAAAAGCACTTAATCAACAATTGGAATAGAAAAATAAGTAAAGCCCATGAAACCTGCGCCTTGCGCCTCAAAAAAAAGCCCGCGCCTAAGCTGCGCCTTGCGTATTGCGCCTCGCCTCGATCTGTTCGAAGTGCAAGGCTGCGCCTCATTGCGCCTCGCGCTTAGGTGCGCGTCTAAGCACGCCTTTTAAAACACTGACTTATATTAAAGTTTAATAATGTTAAAATGATTATATTTGCTTACCATATTTTCTTTACACTCTCATGTGTCATAACTACATTGGTTTGTGGTACCCATCACTCATATGTGGTATCAATACAGTGATGTCACATGAGCTTATAAACAAAACACGATAAATAAACTTGATCATTCTAACATTATTGATTGAAGTTTAAAAAAATGGCAGACTTTACCCATGGCCTCTGCAATACCTCTATGTAGGAGTTATCTAATAGCTATTATTAATAGATGGAAAACCTTAAGGAAAAACTAGTAGAACAAGAAAATGATTCTTTTATAGCTATAATCATTAGTATGAAGGATTTTAAGTAACTATTTTTACATTTCATTTTAAATCCATCATAATCCATTGTGGTAGAACTTTCAAATTCATATCTTAAAATCCATCTAAACTACAATATCTTACTTTGAGTTAATCTCTTTGTAGTACTCAAATCGTTTCTTTTTAAATCCATAAATCTAAACATCCTAACTTTATTTGTGATTACTATTGCATGCATATATTTCTTAAAATGTGTCACATTTACGTAAAAAAATATAAATATTAACCTTGCAACTCTTGCTTTACATGGGGTGGGCTTGGGTTGAAGATATCATGTTAAGAGATCATGCCAACCAAACCTGTTCGGGTGCACATGACTTTGGGCCCTGCTATTCATAATTTTTGGGTCAGCCATTCCTTGTTGAGCAATGACCTCAAGAAAATAGACATATGATGCCTTGGTTTCTTTCGAACTTCCCCTAAAAGGTGTAGGGGGAAATCAATCTTAGAAGTTTAGTTTCTTTCGTCTGCCATGTCTTTCATGATTTAGAATGCATGCACAAAGAACATTAGTTGTAGACATAAAAGCACAGTTGAGGTGAGTGTATTTATGCATCGTATGGTTGTGGCAAATGGTAGCCCCAATATTTAGTGGTCTCCAAAAACATTGAGCTGCTACTTGGTATATTTCCTCCTCCTCTCCGTCATTAACAGCAAGTTACTTTTCTTACTCAAAATTTATATGCCAGCACTGTCTTCATCTTACCCTTTTTATTACTTTTTCATTACATTACCTATGCATATCCTTTTCTCTGTATTAGAGAATGGGGATCAGCATATTTGAACCCTTTGTGAAATGAAATATGTCTCCTTCCCTATAGATCGATCTTTGGAAGTCTTCCTATTGATCCTGTCTGAGTAGTGTTTATAATGACAAAATGAAGTCGACTTCCAAAAGAAGAAGTTTCCAGCTCACTGGTTTGAACATGCAGATAAAAAACTCTGTGAAATCAGTAATAAAATAATATACATATAGTGATTAAAATATATAGAAAGGAACAGCATAACTGTTTCTGAAACTTCAAATATTGTCATTAATTGATAGAGAGAACAAGAAAGATTCAAGTAAAATGGTGTACGTAATATTTAGCAAATTACCTGTAAATGGACTGAATTCCAGCACAGTTCAACTTATTGGCCAACCAAAGCAAGAATCCAGAGATGTCTCATCTCACTTGGGGCCTGGAGGTCCAATCTCGGTGGGGGTTCTATTCGATGTGTTTCATCTGGGATTGTTGGGATGTAGACATTTGAAGCGTTAAATGAGCTTTTGCTTTCCTAGTTTAAACTTACATTGCCTGGCTACTTTCTTCCACTTCTCCTCCCATTTCATTTGACTGCATAGTGGTGCTTCTTTGTGCGTATTTTTATTCAATATGCTCCTTTTTTTTCTTTTTTTTTTCTCCTGTAATCTGATCAATTAATCTTGAAATTTTCAGGATAATTAAACATATGATTGGTAGCATAGAAGGGGATGCGCAGAAGAAATGTTTAGTTCCTTGTTCTGGAAGCTCTTCATTCCTGGTTCTTCTATATCTGGATCCTCTGTATTGCAGGAAAATTTTGCTTATGTAGTTTTTTTATTGCGCATAAGTGTTTTTTTTTTTTTTTTTTTTTTTTCTCATTTTAGCTTTAACATAAATCAATTTTGGATATCCATTAACAAATCACTAGTTTAACATTCGTTCCTTTTGGTTTTGGATTCATCTGATTGGTGATGATGATGATGGCTTTTTCTTTGTTTTCTGTGTGGTTGGACTGGGAACAATGTGTTCCTCTGAAGTATGCATTTTTTAATTTTCCCTTTAACCATTTACTAAACTCTGGTAGAACCAATCCCGTGAAGATCCACACAGACTCTGCAACATGTGAGAGCCTAAGCCCATTTGGATTGTAATGCCGAACAACTCGATTGCTATAAAGGACCCTACACAAAAGGAATTCCCAGAATTAATTCAACAACTGGGTTTTTTTTTTTTTCTTACTAGGCCCCATTTGGGGTCTTTGGTTTATAATCAAAAAATTACTATACGTTGTCATATCATTTTTTTTTTTAAAAAAAAAATTAGATTTTTTTTTTTCTTTATAAACATTTAAAAGTTAACTAAAATAGTTAATTGACAAGTTTATATTTCACTGTGGAATTGTTTCATCTATGGTAGATTAATCTTGTGAGAATCCATGTGTAAATATTGCATAATGTGTTGTTGAGGGTTGTGGAATGAACGAGACAATTGACCAAGGGTGTAAATTGGGCTGGGGTGGGGTCGGGTTGGTCTATGAGTTGGAAAATTAAACTTGAGTTCGGGTGTTCGGGTCTTGGGTGAACCAGCAGGTTGGGTCTCGAGTTGTGCCAGCGGGCCTGGGCATGGGCCGGGCCTGAATATTTTTTTTATACTTTTTTAATTATTTTTCATTAAAAAGACATTAGGCCTTAAGTGGGTCGGGTTTCTAGTCAGGCTTTGAGTAAGCTTTGAGCGGGTTGATGAGCCGGGCCCACAAGTCAAACCAAGCTTCAAAATGACGGTTCAGGTCCAGGCTTAGGTCTCAAATTGGGCTCGGGCTCTGGCCTAATCAGGCTGAGCCCATCTCGAACCGTGGGCAGGTTTCAGGCTGTCCACGGGTCACATGTCATTTTTACACTCCTAAACAAATTGTAGTTGAGGGTGAAAACAAATTTGTTCTTACATTTTTTTATGAGTGTTACTATTAGTACTTACCGCTTTACTTTGTACCTTCAATTCTTTGAATCGCTATCTAAGCAAAATGAGTCCCCATCGTTTCTGCTATTGGGGACGAGCAGCAATAGGCGGCGGCTCAAGCGGCGGCTTCGGCAACAACAACCTGAGGAACTACTATCTGCTCCACCTTGATCTGAGATCTTCGGACGCCGAGCGGCTTGTTGGCTAGGGATGTAAAGTCGGAGCCGTGGGTTGTAGAGTTTGGAAATGTGATGGTGGTGGGTAAGACTAATCTGGTGATTGATCTGATGTATCTATGTATATAATCTTTTGCCAGAGATAGAAGGAGAGGTCGTCGGCAGTGGTGGTCGCCGGTGGAGATGGTGGTGAAAAGGTTGGTGGGTTAGGGTTTTGGGAAATTAGGGTTAGGGTTAGGGAAATTAGGTATAGAATGTTAGGGATGAAGGTAAAAATATAACTTCATGTTTGGTCAAAATTGAAATTAAAAAACTAAGAGAAATGAGGGGTCCAAAGAAAAAAAAGTAGGTGCCAATAGTAGCATTTTTTTTTTTAATTTGAATAAAACACACTTTGGGTTTGTTTGAGATGTGGGTTGACTTTTTGGGTTTTGACTATTTTAGTCTGGTACTAAAAAATCTCATTTGGAATGAGTTTTTTGATTTTTTTAAATTTTTGTGAGAAAAAATAAATTATTGTAATTTGAATGTGACATTTTGTCTTATGACTTTTTAGCCTATTTTATCTTTTTGTGACTATTTTAATTCAAATATGATATGCCAAACAAACACTTTATGATTGCTGAAAAATGTGGCTCTTTCATACAAAAAAAAGTGTATTGAAACCATATATCTACCACCAGGGTTGGTGGCCTAGTGGAGGATGCGGCACATTCCCTAACCGAGAGTCAGGGTCGATTCTTGGGAGGGGCGTTTGACATCACTCCCTGTGAACACGCTCATACTCCCCTCGAATCCTGTCCTCTGCTGCGGCATGTGGATGCCCTCTATTGGTGCCCTGGTGGTGGGTCCCTCACTTGGTGGGGGTTAATTCCTAAGTGACTGGTGGTGGGTCCCTCACTTAGTGGGGATTAATTCCTAATTAGCAACCGGTTACTCCGGGATTAGGGCCCAACGGAGCCGTGATGACACCACACAACATTTTTTTTCATGTTCCCCCAAAAAAAAAAAAAACCCAAAAAAAAAAAAAAAAAAAAAAAAAAAACATATATCTTACTACTGTTCACCAATTAAGGAATGCGTTTTGCTCCCAGATTTCAAAATTGTGGATAAGTTTAAACTCATTGAGGGTGGTTTAATTTCAAATGTTGTTGAGTGTTTGTGGAATGAATGAGCCAATTAATTTCAAAGGAAACAGAGTTATGGGTTGTGGGTTGGGAGTTGCGGAATGAATGAGGCCGTTGACTTCAAGCCTGTTTGCAGATATTGCCGTTGAGGGTTCTGAAATTTTGTAATGTTGTTGAGGGTCTTGGCTCTTCAGGGTTCCAATGGTATAAATGATTGGAAAATGTTAAAAATAATTCTTAGTGCTGTTGTTAGTTTTAAAAAGTGTTTTAAAATATATAAAAAATGTATTGAGTTTATAAATATTTTGATATTTATAATTTTTAAAGACAGACCATGCAGCTAGATTTTTTTGATTTAGAATTTTATTCTAGATATAAGATCTTGTCCTTAAAAACAAGCACAATTTTTTTATTTGTATAAAAATCAATCATAGAATAGGATTATAGGACACAATCTTTTCATATATGTGTGGAATTTCAGACCAAAAATATATATATATATATATATATATCTCTTTTTTAATTGGGAAGAATTGTGTTGGAAGTTAAGGGGGAAAAAAATTATTGGTACGGGACATCTTAGAAACTTAGGTTTAAGCTGCCTAAATTGGATTTGTGGTGGGTTTTGTTAAAGAAAAATAAGTAGGTTTTTCGTAATGTAGAAAGGGGGTAAATAGGATTTAGAGGGAAAGGATGGAAAATGGTTTTTGGGAATAAAAAGTGGTTGAACGAGCCGAATAGTGGCCCAGACATACTTATTCATCAAAGTGTACTATTTTTATCATTAGGAAGCATCCAAATGTTTAGGTCTTAAGGTTAGTCAAAATGAGATGTCTATAGTTGGCGCTACTTACTATCTCTACTATAAATTGCCGTATCAAATCTATCATCGACGACCACCATCTTCACCATCAACCTTCATCGTCATAGATCTGGTATTAACAAACTCAAATATGAGACTAACGACCATAGATCTGTTAGAAAAAGGCCATTTGAGTTGTCCATTCCGTTTTTGTAGCAAACAAGAAAATTTTACTATCAACATGGAGTAAAATTTTACTCTAGAAATGTTTTGATAATTTTTTTTATTTAATATTTCTACTAGCAATGGTAAAATCATGTACTCTTCATTTTTCACTAGCTAAAATACCCAAAAAAAAAAAAAAAAAGTAATTCTTCTTTATTTTATCTATTTATACACACAAGTTGTTTAAAGAGCCTCTTAAGACCCTTCAAATGTAACTAGTCTTGAAGAATTTTGTTAAAATAGCTATTGTAATAGCTAGCTTATTGAAGTGACTAAAATATGATAATGTTAACTATAACAAGCCTCATTTAAAGAGTCACTTGAAAATGCTCTAAGTGTGTTGATTGGTGATGTTGAAACGATGTTGAAATTTTTTATCATTTAAATGTTAAATTCATATAGTAAAATTTTACTGTCATTGACACAGTAAAATTCCACTGTCCAATATACAGTAAAATTTTATTATTATAATAGAGTAAATTTTTATTGTCTATAAAATAGTGAGGTTTAAATAATTTTTTTTGTTATTTGCTAAGGCGGGGGTGGAGGGTAGTGGTGGTGGTGGGTGGCTGGGTGACGGTGGCGGTGGCGGGTGGTGGCAAGTGGGTGGTGGGTGGTGGTAGCAGGTGATGGTGGGGGGTAGGTGGTAGGTGGTGGTGACAGAAGACGATGGTGGAAAATGGTAGCGGGTGGTGGCTAGTGTTGGTTGGTAAAAAAAAAAAAAAATGAAAACTCAAAACGAAAACACATTTTTTTAGTTTACATTTTTTGACTAAATTTATAAACTGAGACCACTAATTTATAAATCAAAAATTTACCAAATAAGTTTTTATTTGAGTTTTTTAAATTTTTGTAAATATAAACAGAAAACTGAAAACGTAAGTTGAGAGGGGAGTTTTGGACCGGACTATACGGCCGAGCTACTGTAACGCAGGGTTGGTCAAATCTCACGGCGCCGAGCCGTGTTCTCGGTTGGCGCTGCCCCCGGCTTGTCATGTTCCGAGAGAACCGACCGATCAGGCATGGATTGGGGTCTGGCCGAGCAATGACCTGGAGGGCATTCAACTGGACGCGAGATGACGTGAAGCAATCGAGCTAAGGGCAGCCCAGGCCAGACTGAAGACAGGCGAGGGCCGGCGCGCCCTACCGGTCAGCCGAGGTGGCCGGACTGCATATAATTTAGGATGAAGGAAGAGCGAGGAAGGGCTGGCACGCTTCATGACCGGTCAGCCAGGATGGACCGGTCACGCACAGCTTGGTTATGAGAATCCGACTTTCGCTTGTTCCCAAGGGATAGGTCGGCAAGATACAGCTCAGTTGTATGGCTTGTGATGGCAATTCTTCTTAAGAGATAGACCGGTCGTGATACTCCGGTTAAGCATGCCACCTAGGCCAATGGCGTGAGGGAGAGGAAATCTGCTCCAAGCACGCGTCAATACCCTTTGGTGGTTCTGCATGTACTGGTTGGAGGACTACGCCTTTACATGCGTAAGGTGGTGAGAGGCGAACACTGCCACTTGTCTAGGGGAGGACAGCAGAGGTAGTGCGCGCACAATCTTGAGGCTGCATGGCCAGCCTAGAAATAAGAAGGGAAGATGAACGTTAGAGGTAAGCAACTTGCGCTATCTGAAACTCTCTCTCTCTCTCGAATAGCCTCCCTCTTCCTCAAGTGATCTGACTTGATCGTCGGAGGGTCTATCCGGCACACCACCGC